TTGAAAGCACAAACTGCCAAAGCCCACTCAAAAAGAAAGAGATAAACTGAATAGCCCTATATATATTTTTAAAATTGAATTGGTAGATAAAAGTATTCTCACAAAGTAAATGTCAAGCCCAGATGACTTTACTGGTGAATTCTCCCAAATATTTAAGAAAAAAATACCAGTTCTACACAAATTCTTCTAGAAAATTGAAAAGAGGGAAATACATCCCAATTATTCTATGAGGCGAATATTACCCTGATACCCAAACAAAATAAAGATGTTACAAAAAACAAAAACTAAGAGCAAAACTAAAGATTGGCATTTCTCATGGACACTGGTGCAAAAATTCTAAACAAAATTTTAGCAATTCAACAATATATAAAAATGAAAATACATCATGACCAAGTTAGGATTATCCCAGGAATAGTTTAACTAACATTCAAAAATCAACCAGTTTGGTTTACCATATTTTTTTAAAACTAACAAAAACCATATGGTCATCTTAGTAGATGTAAGAAAAGTATTTGACAAAATTCAACATCCATTCCTCCTAAACACGCTTAGAAAACTACTAATAGAAAAGAACTTCCTCAGCCTGGTCAAGAGCATCTTGACAAAATTAGAGCCAACAGTGTAATTACTGGTGAAAGAATGAAGGCCCTTTTGATAAGGACTAAGACAAGAATGTGCCTGTCCTCTTACCACTTTATTCAGCATTGTGTTGGAGGTTCTAGCCAATGCAATAAGGCAAGAAAAAGAAGTTAAAAGCATCCAGATTAGAAAGGAAGAAGTAAAACTGTTCACGATAACATAATTATCTGTATAGAAAATCATATGCAATCTATCCAAAAAAGCTACTAGTACTAATAAGGAAGTTTAGTAAGGGTCGTAGGATATAAGAACAATATACACATATCAATTGTATATTTCTAAATACCAGGAACAGATATTAAAAATTAAATATATCATTTGTGACAGTATAAAAACTGAAATTTGACCAACAAAATGTGAAAACATATACCTTGAGAACTACAAAATATTGCTGAGAAAAATTAAAGAAGAACTGAATAAATGGAGAGACGCTTTGTGTTTGTGGCTCAGAAGACTCAATATTGTTAAGATGTTTGTTCTTTCTAAGTTGTCTGTACTCCTGATCAAGATCACTGTGGGTTTTTTTTTTTTTTTTTTTAGAAATTAACAAAACGACTTTAAAATTTATATGAGAATGCAAAGTTGTGGCCAACACAACTTTGAAAAAGAAAAACAAAACTGGAGGTCTTATGCTACCTTGATACCTTACAGGAATCAAGACCAGTGTGGTTTTAGTGTGAAAGTAGACACAGATATCAATGGAACATAATAGAGAACCCAGAAACAGAAACACACACACACACACACACACACACACACACACACACACACGCACGCGCGCGCACATACCACACACAGAGGAAACTGATCTTCAACAAAGGTGTGAAGGGAGGACAGGCTTCACGCAGTGCCGGAGCAACTGGACATCCACATCCAAAAAATGAACTTCGGTGCATACCTTGTGGGGGTGGAGGGCACGTTGGCAGGCTCAGTGGCGGATGATTTTGGGGGCCAGAATGCGTCGGTTTTACGCTTTAGACTGTGCGTCCTTAACATGCCAGTCAGTCCTCCTCGGAGCTGCCCAAGTGTGGGCTCAGCGCCCTCGGAAAGCCTCCAGGCTCTGAAGGCACGCCGACCCCGTCAGTTGCAGAACATCAACACGCCCCTGATGAGGAGGCTCGCTGGCTGCAAGCTCAGCCTGGTGGAGGCGTCTCTGGACACGCTGCAGCTCATCTGGGAGGAGACGCTGCAGCAGCAGCTGGAGCAGGGCTCGCTGGAGAAGCTGCTCGCGGACTATCTGCAGAGCGCCAGCGACTACACTTCCGTCGGCTTGGTAACCATCGGCCTTTTAGTTACAGACTCTCCTCGGAGAGACAGCATGGGCCACAGGGAGGCTAAGGGAACCCCCTTCCAGAAGGGCTTGTCCCTGTCACCATGTGCCTGGCCGTGCAGGTCAGCCGGTGGGAATCCGAGGGCAGTCCCTGCCTCGGCAGCTCCAGGCAGCTGGGGGGCTTCCAGGCTCTCCGCGGAAGGGCGTTGCCGGATCATCTGAGGGCACCGAATCGGCTAATGAGATAGAGATCGTGTGTGGGGTTCCCCTATGACCTTACGGCGCTTCTCCCCAAGTCATGAATTTGCTTTGACTAATTATTTTCTTAGATATCATGAAATATCAGTTCAATTAACTTGGCATAAATATAAATGAGCCAAAGATAGTCCTGAAATTGGACCTGATTTGTCAGTGAGCTCTGAATTAAGGTTGTATCAGCAAATGTTTGTGACTTTCCCAACACCGAAGCCACGGAGAGCCTGCCCCACCGTGCTGGCCCCCCCAGAGCAGAGGCGTTTCTCTGCCTGCTCTCGGGTACCCCACCACCAGGCGGCATTAGCGGGTGGGCTTGCTGGGCTCCCGGGGGCAGGGTGGGAGGACGCACTGCAGCCACTAGGACGGTGGCCACGGCATGTCCATCTCCCTGCAGCAATGGTTCATGCTGAAGCGCACCCTGGCGCACACGGCGCTGGTGCAGCTGGCGAGTCTGCAGCCGCTGTGCACGGGCTGCGTGGAGACCCGCGCCCGGCTCCTGGGCCTGGCCGGGAGGGCCCTCCACCTGCTGGCCATGCAAGCGGACCCTGTGCGCCCCACCTGCTACTGGGAGGAGGGCCTCTTGGTAGGTGCCCCGGCCTCCATCTCAGTCTGGTTGGAAACCTATTACCTGTGTCTAAGAGATAAAAGCTTAATTCTCACCTGCGCTCAGCAGTAGGAACCGGGATGTTTTATGTTTTGAAGCTCTATCACTGGGCGCACACAGATCTGGGACTGGTAGCCCGCGAGTCCGGAGGCTCCCTCTCGACCCGAGCTCTTGGGGCCTCCTGCCGGCCCCCATCCCCAGTTGGCACCGACATGTAGGGAGGCGTTTCTGAAGGACTGGCCAGAGTGACCAGGGGCACCAGCTGCCACTCCAGCCAACTGTCTTCCTCTAGTGCTGCTCCCCGCGCGGGCTGTGGCTTCCGCTTGCCCAGGCTCTCGGTCTGGCCCAGTCAGCTCAGTCAGGCCTGGGTGCCGGGCAGGGTCTCCGGCCAGGGAGAGGCCAGCCTGCGGCGCCCTCCCCAGGGACCATGCAGGGCTGACTGTGCCAGGCTCCAGTGGGGCGGGCTCTGCCCACGCCAACCGCGTGTGTATTTCGCAGTTGGGCGCTAAGCTGAGCAGCCTGAAATCTCTGCAGCTGGACGTCGAGGAAGAAGGTGTCGACAAGTCCAGCAGGGACCTGCCGGCCTTCAGAGCAGCCCCTGGGGGACACAGCAGGAAAGGCGAGGCCCTGAAGGTACAGCCTCCCCACGCCCCTCACGTGGCCTCTGCCCCCAGAGGCTGGCCTGAGCCTGAGCCCTGTGCCCGCAGCGGAGGATGGTGCTGGCCCGGCGGTTCCTGGCCCAGGCGTCCGAGGTGCTGCTGCAGTGCCTGCAGGTGGCCCTCGGCAGCGGCCTCCTGGACGTCGCAGCAGCCGCCAGCCTGGAGGTGGTGGAGTGCATCGGCACCTTGGACCCCGCGGCCGCCTGCCAGTTCCTGGCACTGTCTCAGGTGTGGCTCTGTCCTGCGGGGCTCCGGCGAGGCCCCCGCCCTGGGGCTGGTGCTGAGCTGGGGAGAGCTGCGGGCCAGGGCCCAGGTCCACGAGCAGCAGCAGCCGGCTCAGAAAACGTGCTTGTTCACCTGTGCCCAGATCTCCGCGGCAGGCACAAGGGAGACGCGGCAGGAGGGCCAGCGTGCCCTGCCCGCATAGGCCTTAGGGAGGTCCGGCAGAGTGCATGAGTGTGGCCCCACGTGACCCTGCAGGGGCCGGGAGCCCAGCCTCCCGGGGGAGCTTACGCCAGGAGAGCCTGACCAGTCCTCCTTCCAGGCTGCGGCCACACCACATGCCCACCCATGCTGCCCACCCAACGCCGCCCATCCACGCCACATGCCCACCCAACACCGCCCATCCACGCCACATGCCCACCCATGCCACCCACCCAACGCCGCCCACCCATGCCACCCATCCACGCCACATGCCCACCCAATGCCGCCCATCCACGCTGCCCATCCACGCCACATGCCCACTCACGCCCCCGGCCTGTTGCAGAGCTGCTCGGCCGCGGAGATGATGCGGGGCGTCCTGCTCACGGCCACGGCCGACACCAGCAGCTCGCAGATGGCGGCCCTGCTGCAGCTGCAGCACCAGCTCCGGTGCCAGGACAGGACCTCGACCAGCCTGTTTGCCAGCGTGGAGCAGAGGCTGGCTGTCATTTCCAAGGTAACCGGGCGGGGACGTGCGCTGATGCTGCCCCCCGGCTCCCAGGCTCTGCAGACGGATGCCACGGTCCCCCGTTCCCGGTCTAAGGGCGACCGTCCTTTAAGTCGCTCCAGCTCGGGCTGCCACCCTGCTCCACCTTTTTCTAGCCTGTGGGTCCAGGAGGGTTGCTCAACCGCTCTGAGCTTCAGCGTCCCCACGGGCCTTGTGGGGACAGTGACAGCCGCCCAGTAGGTGGCAGCGAGGTTGGTGAGCCCCGGCTATAGACGCGCTGCCCAGGGCCTGCAGCAGAGGACTGACCGCCAGGCCAGGACAGGGGACGGCGCCGGACGGCTCGCACTCAGTGGGGACGGCTCCCAGCACCCGCAGGCTAAGGCCCCCGGGGTCTCCGTGAGGGTGGGGAGCTTCCTGTAGCCTGGGCTGTTCTAGGAAGCGATTCCTACCTCGGTCAGGTCATCTGGGAAACGTGCAGAGTGTCACAGCTGATGACGCCTTTGCTTTTCTTTGGATGAGCAGGTAGGAACGGGAGTAAAGAAAAGAACTTGATGAAATTTCGCAAATCACGGTCGAACCTGCTTTTCCTTCGCAGCTGCACCTGCTGTCCCCTCCTCGGGGTGGATCTGATCTCTTATCCCTCGTCCGGGGCTGTGTTTGCCGGACAACTCTTTGTTGGTGGGGGTGGGGTGGGTGGGGGCAGCTCCCCTGCCTCCACCCACATCCCGCCGGAGCTCTACCCACCCACGTGACATCCAGATGCCAACGTCACCAGCGGGAGCAAACCTGCCAGCTGAGAGCCAGTCCCCTCCCCAGCCCAGCCCTGGGGACAGGAGGTGGCGGCACAGCCAGCGCAGGGTGGGGGGGACGGTTTCCCATTTCTGTAGCTACCAGGGAAGTGTCAAATCTTAACAGGTAAAATATAATCCCTGGGGGTAACCACTAAAACAATGTGTCACTAGGTTATTCAGAAGGAAAGATTATATATAACACTATGTTATTAATCCAAAAAGTAGAGAAAAAATCGGAATGTGAAAGCAGAAGTTTCCAGTAGAAAACCAACAGTATAATAGGTACAAAACTAAATACATTTATGATTACAGTCAGTACAAATGGACTGAATACCCCAAGCCAGAGATTAAGATTGTCAGATTAGACAAAAAATCCAATTATATGCTTTTTAAAAGATTAAAGAGGAGCAGTTCACATACAGGGACACAGAAATGTTGAAAGTAACAGGTGAGAAAAATATGTAACCACGAACATACCGCTCAGGCGGCAGCCACGAGGTGCTTCAGCAAGATGTGTTTCTAGACATAAACAGGGTTATTTCGTAAGGAGACAGGGATCAACCCAGCAAGGGGCCGCAGTCCAGTCCACTCAAGGTGAAGCTTCAAATCTCACAAGACGTCACTGACAGAAATGAAACAGGAACGGTGGACACAGCCACGATTCTCACGTCGAGTAGACAGAAACTGGCAAGTACCCAGAGAGCCCGCACAGCCTCGGCCTCCTGACGGACACGCGCAGAACGTCACCCTCCACCGACGGGACAGGTGCGTTCCACGTGGGACCAAAACCAACCAAGGCTGGGCCACACGCAGCCTCGGTGAACCCAACGGTGGAGACGCTTTTCTCACCACTGTGAAACTGAACCACGAACCAATGAGAAGGTATCTGTGAAAAACACAATTGCCTTGAAATGAAGCAACATGATCATCAACTTGGTCAGAGAAGAAATCTCAGTGGAATTTAGAAAATGCTTTCAACTGACTCAGAGATTGAAAATCCTGCACCTCAAAACTTACGGGACTCAGCTAAAACAGGGCTTGGGGGAAAATGCAGCCGTGGACATGAGACGCAGGCCAGGAAAGCCTCGATTTACTCTTCAATTCACACAGTGAATCACAGCCGAGGGAAATGCAAGGGTGCAAATACATACAACACCAGAAACGATGAAGTTACAATCAACAAACAGCGGATCATCAAAGGCAAAGCCAGTTCCACAGAGAAGACTAACGAAGTTGATAAACACTGAAGCTCGCTCAAGAAAAAAGAGAAAACGCACATTTCCACGTCGGTGGTGAAAGCCGCGTCTGTGAGATCCCACAGACACCAAAGAGCTAATGAGGGAATATTATTCACAACCTTACTGCATTCATTTGAAATTTGAATGAAATGGACAAATTCCTCAAAAAAGCACAACTTACCAAAGCTAACAGAAGAACAGAAAATCTGGAAAATTCAGTATCTGTTGGAGAAACATATTTTCATTAGAAACATTCCCACAAAGAACACTCAGACACACGTGGCCTCACTGGCAGATTATTCCAAACACTGAAGGAAGAAACAGGCTCTCAGAACTCTCCAGTGAGCGGAAATGAAGGGAAACCTCCCAGCTCATCGTCTGGGGCCAGGCGGCCTCGACACTGGACGCTTAGCGAGGACGTTGCAAGAAAGAAAACTCGCTCATCGACAGACACGAACATCCCTAACAAAATACGAGCAGACAAAACCAGCTATAGGGTGAGGGTCCGCCAGGAAAGCAGGATGTGCCACGGGGTTCGGTGTTTGAAAGTCACCCCCTGGGATTCGCCGTGTTAACAGAGGAAGAGGAGAAAGACTGTAAGGTCTTGCTCGCTGCCAAAACGCGTTTCTCAAAATTCAACACCTCAACTTGTGATTTAAAAAATTAAGATAGAAGGAAATTTCCTTAATCTGATAAAAAATATCTTTTTAAAAACCCCAGATCACATTATTAATATCACCACGTTTTCTCCAGGAGTGGAGCTGCTGCGGGAAAGCACTTCTGTTCTAGCGCAGGAGACAGGAAGGAAACAGACGTGGTTATTTGCAGTCGCGGGGCGGGAGGTCGGGGGGCCGCAACACCACCGAGAGCTTCGAGAGCCCTGCTCAGCCAGGATCTAATAAAAAAAGAAAAAGTTTTTTAAAAATTTTAAAAAGAGTCTATAGATTAATATTTGAATCAACACACACAGTTAACAAGGCCACTGCTGCGGGCTGCAAGGTCGGTCTGCAAACACAGTCTTTCCACGTGCCAGTTACAAGCAACTGGAGAACGAAACATTTTTAAATGGTGCTATTTTCAGTGGCATAAAAATACATATACACATATCAGATACTGAGGGGAAATCTGGCAAAGGATGTGCGAGCCCAGTCCACTGAAAACTACACACCTCCTCGGGAGGAAGGGAGGAAGGAAGGAGCAGTGAGTCAAGGGCGATGCCCACGTCTGCGGGTTGACGCAAGGACGTCTCCCAACCACTGGCCACCTCTCCGCTTCTGACAGCGTCCCGGCTCCGGCGCCCTGAGCCACCACAGTGCCGTCTTCTGCAAAGGCGACCTGAAGGTGACCGTGTGTGTGCGTGGCTCTCGTCCGCCCACACGGCCCCACGTGTGCCCCGTGCCGAGGGAGGGACCACGGCAGGGAGGACGGAATTTGCACTGCGCTGAAACAAAGACGTCCAGGCCTTGGAAGGAGAACGTAGCCGGCGAGCCCAGAGCAGGAAAGGACGTTCACCCGGCACGGCGGACGACACGTCTGTGTCTCGCGCCAACAAAGGGGAAGCATCGGTTTTCAGTAAGAAAAACAGCACGAGGTTGGGACATCGCGAGAGAGGATATTCGAGTGGGAAATAAACATCTGTAAAGGTGCTCAAGGTCATTGGCAATCGGGGAAATGCAAAAACTAAAACCACATTCGGATACTACTGGACACCTACCAGCATGGCTAAGCTGGAACGGATGATGTGGCCCCGTGGAGGTGGGACGGTGGCACCTGGGAGTCTCGGCCCTCAGCACCACAGGCCCGGCTGTGCCCAGTGGTGAGGCTCCTGCGTGGTCCCCAAGGTGCGTGTGGTGAGTGTTCGTCGCAGTGGCTCTCACAGCAGCCAGAAAAGGGAGCCGCCGATGTCCCCCGGCCACGGGACGCATTATGAAGGGCGCTGTGTCCACGCAGTGCAGACGCCAGAAACGCCAGCCGAAGCCACTGAAGTCCACCCACGTAGGGCGGCCAGCAGCATCCTCCCTCTCCCCTGGCCACACGGCGCGGCACCTGTGAAAACCTACCGAGCTTTGCACATGTGGTTACGCCACTTTCTCTTGTATTTTCTACTTCAACAAAGGGTTTCAAACAGTGGGTTTGTTCTTGCAGTCTCAGAACTCTGGAGCCGTGAGCAGTCACAGCTGCCGGGGGAGGGCAGCCGCCTAGAGCCTGTGGCCGCCTGCGAGGGGCTGTGCCCACCCCCCAGCGGCAGGGCCTGAGCTGCGCACCGTGTCTGGGTTGGGATCTGCCGGTGCACGGGCCGCAGAGGAGCAGGGAGCAGGGGCCTGGGTGGACGGGCTGGAGCAACTGCCGGACCATGGCCAGGCAGCCCGTGGGCTGTGCGAGCTCCCTAGCGCCTTCCCTGGCGGCGTGTGTCCGCATGTCTGCCTGTGCATGCGTGTGTGTCTAGGGGAGCATGTGTATGCGTGCATGCATCTGTGCAGCTGTGTGTACATGCATGTCTACACGTGTGGTGTGGAGGAGACAGCAGGGAGGACGGAGGGAAGCGGGGCTCTGCTGGGGCAGGTGCCGGGGAGCTCGTCCTGCCTTCGGCGGCTGCGCACTTTGTGTTGGGCAAAGCGGGTTTCTAACCGCTGAGGACTGGCGAGAACGCGACATTCAGACGAGCCGCCGACGTGCCTGTGCTGCCCCCGTGTGGCAGTCGCACGTCACTGGGGGGCCCCACCAGGGTGCAGCGCAGAACCTCCACTGGGCCATCCCGTGACGCGTGGTGGAGACGGCGCGGTGACAAGCCTGCGTCCCGCATGCTTCACGGATCCCCGTTCATCCCGACACAGGCCTGGCAAAACCTCCGCGTCACGGAGCAGCATTTCACCTTCCTCAGCGAGATGCCGCCTACGTTCCGGATCCTCGTCCTGCACCTCTCGCGGGACAGGTGGGGCCTTCTCCCTCCCATCCTAGGCCCTGCAGGGAGGCGCAGACACAACCCGCACCCTGGCAGCCTGGGGGTGCCGCGATGCCCTGGCTGGCCCCAAGGAGGGTGGGGACAGACACGGTGGCTCCCAACGGACGTGGGGGTGGGAGGCCAAGGGACACCGAGGTCCCCGTCCTGCTCCTGCTGGAGAGGGCCAGGCGGGGATGACTGGGGTAGGTGCCACCCCCTGTGACCGTCTCTAGCACAGCCCCTGGGTCTGGTCTGGGTGGGCCTGGATGTCCAGACCTGAGGGTCACCGGATGGTGGGGCGGAGGCTGGGCAGCTGCCCGCACCTGCTCTTGATGGTCTGGGCCGAGCTCTGAGCCTCCCACAGCGAGGGGGGACCAGGCGGCAGAGCGTGGCCGGCCTTGCCCGCCGAGGCACGGGTGGGGTAGGGTGGGCAGGGGCCCCTGCTGGGCTGTGTGGTTTCAGGATTGGCCTCCCCGGGGCTCCTTCGAGCCAGGCTGTGAGGCCTCCCTGGGGACTCACCTGTGACCAGCCGCATCCCGCCAGCAGGTCCCGGCTGTATGGCGCCGCCTACGAGAAGCCCAGGTTCTTCCCCACGGCCAAGGGAAAGCCGCTGCAAGTGGGCGGTGAGCCGCTGTTTGCAGGCGGTCGGTGGGCGGCGGGGCTGGCGGGAGCAGGAGGCAGAAGCAGGCAGCCCGGGTCTGACCCCCCACACGTGGACACCAAGGTCAGGGCCTCCCTGCAGACTTTTCACTCGGAAAGATAAAGGTCCGACTGGAGTCCTGACCCTGGGGGTGCAGCCCTGCCCAGCCCCCACCCACAGAGACTGAGGGGCTCGGCCGAGCCCAGGACAGACGGGGAAGCAGCGTGGGCAATGCATGTCCGGGCTCCGTCCAGTTCTGGGGGGACTGGCCCGTCCAGAGCACTTGGGGGACGGCTCCATGGGGGGACGGGCCTCCCCTCCCCAGGCGGCCGTTCCTCTAAGGAGAGCAGCCCTTTGCCCACCCCACCCTGAGTCCCCAGCGGCCGTGCTCTCATCCCGGGTGGGGGCAGAGAGGTGTAGCTGTGTCCCCCGCAGGCCACTGCAAGGTGACGCGGCTGGCCGTGAGCCCTGCTGCCTTCTCACACCTGCTGGCCCGCGCCCGGCGGTTCCAGGAGCCCCAGGCCGAGGTGTCTGCGGAGGACCCAGCCCTGAGCCCTGGCGTGGTGAGGCCCCAGCCCCTGGGAGAGCAGGGACCCCCGCTGGCTGCAGCAGGGTGGGAGGGGGCAGGCGAGGGCTCAGGTCACTCGCTCTTCTCCGCATCCTACGGCGAGTGCGACCCCACGCAAGGCCCAGAGCCCCGGGGAGCCCCGCAGAGCACCTGCTCACCCGGCCCAGCACACTGCACCCTTCTCTGCGGGGCTCCGGCCCTCTCCTGCTCCGACGGGACTGGGTGTTTGTGGGGTCCTCGGAGGCACTCCCCAAGAGTACGGGCTCGTCTGGGTCGACAGGAGCCGGAGGATGCAGACGGTCCGCGGAGGGTCCCCAGCGTCCTGCAGCCCATGGAGGAGTACCTGAGGCCGCTCCTCCCCCTGTTCAGCTTCCCTGAAGCCAGGTACCGTGCGTGTGTTCAGCTGCTCAGAGCGCGTGCGGGGCTGGCCAGCTTCCCGACGGACCCAGGTGCTGGCCGCGGAGGGGTTGCCGCTCCACCTGGGTGTCTGAGCCCCTGGCCACTCGACGGAGTCCGGGAAAGGGGTGGGGAGATGACGCCGGCCCCGTTTCTGCAGGTCCCCAAAGGGCAGGGAGGGTCCATGGGGCAGAGGCTGCAGGGGCAGGAAGAGGAGCCCCGGGGTTGGGGCTGACGGGGGCGGGGCTGGACGGCAGCTCGACCCCCAGAACTCGCAGCGTCCCAGAGAGAGCCGAGTGGTTGGCTGGGGGAGGGGCGGGAGGCCTCGCGCTGCCTCCCTGACATTGCTGGTGCGTGGACACGCGTGTCCCCGGTGCTGGGACGCCGCTGCGCGTGCTCGGTGTGCTACTCCGCCGAAATGGGCAGCGTGCAGAGGCTCCTTCGTCCGGGTGCCAGGAGCCCCCCACCCTCGGGGGAGTCCCGTGCCAGCCTCCTGCCCAGGGAGCGGCACAGGCAGCACAGCCCGGCCCGGCCACTCTGGTCAGTGTCCGGCAGGGCAGGGTCGGGGCGGCCGGCACGCAGGACTTGGCACCACCCAGGGGACAGGAGATAACCCCGAAATCCTGCTCTGCCTGGACTTGCGCGAAATCACCTCGGCTGCATCTCAGTGAGACCCGTCCCCAAAGGCGGCCCTGGGGAGTGGCTGGTGGCACCTGCCACCTCGCCGTGAAACTGGCTGAGTGGATGTTTATTAAGTATGTTCTGGGCGTACGCCGTTTTTATCTGTTTTTTGAAATCCGAATACGCACCTCTGACTTCCAGAGTGCAGGTGCCGACTGTCGTCCCAGATTCCGGGAAATCCAAGGGCAAAGACAAGGAAAGGAAAATTTCTGCAGGACCCAGTGAGTGGCAGGCGGGCCGGCGCGCAAGACCACCGTGCCCTTGGCCTCGTGACCTTCCTGCGCCAGGAGGAGTTGGGCTGGGACTCCTCACCCGCCTGGGGAAGCTGAGGGGCTCAGAGATCGGGGGTCCCACAGCCCAGGCCTGTGCAGTGAATGCCCAGAAGGTTCCGTGCAGAGCCCCTGGCCGGTGCTCTGGCTTTGTGCAAAACCTCCCCAAGAGCCCATGGAGCCCGCAGGCTGCCCTCCCACGGGAATCGTCAGCTCACTCCTCGAGTGCTTACCAACAAGATGGTCACGAGCAGTCTCTGTGCGAGATCAGATCTTCACCACCCTGAGCACACCCTGGCTGGGCGCGGGCAGCAGAGGGCACGGCCTGCCGACCCTGCGGCTTGCTGGCTTCTCCTCGCACAGGGGGAAGCTGCTGTCCGCGGGACTCCATCCTCCCCGCCCCTCGCACCGGGGCCGCTGCCTCTAGGGTCCTGCTCGGGCCTTTGGCGCAGACCATGGCCTTCCTGCTGGGCTCGGGAAACGGGCCTGCGCTGTGCTCACAGCGTGACCCGAATCCCCACGACCAGAAAGGAGCATTGAGTATCTCTGGGGTCTCACTTTTGCCACCTGTGCCTTTGGTTTGACAAGTGGCAGCCCTCATGGTGCCGCTGCCCCTGGGCGGGGCCCTGAGCTCAGCCACGCCCAGGACCGGCCCCGAGGGGCCGGCGCGTCCCAGGCCCAGCCCCCTGCAGGCTGCGCTGCGGCAGGTCTCCTCCCCCCTCGCCAGGGCACAGCCGCCAGTGTGTCCTCAGGAGCATCTCCCCGAGCAGATCTAACCGCCGTCACATCCCCTGTCCCCAGCTCAGACCGAAGCTGCAGATAAGATGATCCTGATCGCAGACAGGAGCCTCCTCGAGCTGCCGCTGGAGGGTCTCTCTGTGCTGGGTGAAGGGACGGTTTCCTCTGTGTCACGAGAATTCTCTCTCCAAATGCTGTGGAATCGCCTCCACCAGGAGGAGACAGGTAAGAACC